TGCAGAACTTGGCAGCTTTGTGAGAGTGAGCAAAGTACCAATGTACTCATGACTACCCAAGAGTCCAAAACATACAGTTTCTCTGTACGTCCAAAGAATAATGTGGGTTTTTGTACCCAAAGAAAAAGGGGATCTGAAACAACCAGCTCCTTTGAAATGTCACATATTCACAGAAGAAGGTGTTTGTGAAGAGAACATCACTTCTCTAATATGTGCCCAGTTTAGTTTCACCTGTTTCCATGTGCTCCCTTCCCAATTCCTACAACCTGCTTGCACATCCTGTTTCGCTATGAGCACGAGCTTCTCCCCCAGAGCAGTGCTGCCTTCACTTCTCCTCACAGAGTGAGCTGAAGTAACAGTCAAACTGGGAGCAAAAAAACAGACAAGTTTCCCCTTGTTTGTCCAAGCTGCAAACATGACTGAGGTGCTGGGATAGCTCTTAGGGTACCACCTACCAACAGTCCTCATGAGAAGATGGAAGAGTGGCCTCTGAAAGAGCAGTGACTGGAAAAGCATGACAAGACAGAGCAGGTCTTCCAGCAGGAGGGAGGACAAGGAAAAGGATGCCCAGAAGATATCTGGGAAACCCCAGGTTTCAGAGATGGGGGGCAGGAGGACAGAGATGCTGGCAGCACACAGAGGTCTGAGGAGAGATGAGGACAACTATGAGTGCCTATCAGAGGAAGTCAGGCAGAAACTGTAAAATGTGGAGGAGCCAACACCAGTGAGGAGTGGTCTGAAAACACCCTCCAACAGCAAAGGAAACTGAGACAGAAGGAAGACACATTTCACACAAATGAACACAATAGCTTAAACACTGTCCACTGTCACCTCAAAGGTCTGAAGAAGACTCTTGACCACATTTACCCATCCAACATGGAGCATCTCAACCTGACACGAGCTGAGCTGGACCCCTCTCTGCAGGAGGCTCCATCAGCTCTCTTTCACAGAAAGTCAAGCTCTGGCACTGTGTCAAGTCTCAGGGAGTAACAGCTTCCAGCAAGCTTTGTAACATCTGTCTCCAGACTCCCCCAGCAGCCATGAAGGGAGCAGAAGCGCAGCCCATGAAGCGGCTCCCCAGCATCCCCTATGCATGGCACCCCTGAAACTGCTCCTCTCACCCAACACACCTTTTCCTTTACAGACCTCTTCTTTTAGCACTTCTCAAGTTGTTAAACCTTACTTCTTTATTTGTGAGCCACAGCTTCTTACTTTAAAGATCCACGTTAAACTTGCCCCTCCCAAAATACCATTTGTTATAAATTATAATACACCCATGAAATCTTGCCACGCTGGCAGCCAATGACTTTGTGTGCACAGAAACCCATGCGCATCACAGCTACAGATCTGGAAAAACAAAACATTCTCTAATGTGACCACAAAGGGAGAACAGAAACAGCAGGATCACCCAAAGCCCCCAAACCCAAAGCCATCATCTATCCATGCACCCTTGGAAAAAGCAGCATCACTGCCCAAGCACACCATAGGGGCTGTGCCATCAGTAGGGGTCCCTGAATACCCATCAGTATTCTGACCTTGGCACATGGGGAGAGTGCTTTAAAGGGGCACTCAGGATGCTGTGAGGAGCCATCAGTATTGTTCGGCTGAGTTCCAAATATCACAACCTGCTCCAGACCTGAGGTTTTGCTATGCTGTCTTCCCACCCCAAGTGCATTCATTCACTGACAGTTTTTAAGAAAAAAGAAAGGAAAAAAAGCCTTGGACAATTATCAGGCCTTCTGATTTAGCTATTAAAAAAAACCCTACATCGTTTCCCTCTTGTTTTTCTAAATAAAAATAATGTATAGCCTAACTTGATAATAAATATGCTCAGAAGCTGTCTTTAAGTAAAAGCTTTTGATAACAAATTGCCTATGCTAACTGCTATTTTACTGTTGAATTTTTTATTGTTGCTTAAGCACTGCAATTATGCTAATAAGACTGCGAGGATGGTACACTAAAGCATTGAATGTGACAGATATAATACTCAATAAAATGTTAATCTTACCTGAAAATTGGAATCAAACAGCCTTATTAGTATTTATGGATATGGCATCTTTAACATGTTTCTTAAGAGGAATATATATATGCAATGGATATTTTCAAATACACCTTGCTATTTCTTGTGCCTCCATAGGATTTAATTCAGGGTGCCTATTACCCCTGCTGCTAACTTCCAGTCCTTTTTGGATCAGGAAAAAAGCATCCTCATGTTTGAGCTACACTGAACTCCTGCACTGCTGAATGGTTTTGCCCTCCAAACCTACAGGTGAGATGGTCTTCGTGGGCTTCGTGCTGTGCCTTCACTTGCTAACTCATGAAAGAAGTCCAAAAGAACCTCAATATATTCACGTGCTTCTGACATAAGCTGTATTTACATCCACGATCGGGCTGTATCAACAGACCATTCTTGCACAGTACACTGGTGTGGCTCTCAGACACTGCAGGCTAACGCTTAAATAACAGCCTGCTGTCTTGCAGTCTCACTGCTCCTACTGCTCTCACCCAAAGAAGTTAATTCCGCTGACAGGACTGCAGAAACATCAATAAGACACTATTACTCCTCCTGACAGACAATCGAGGTTCTTGCTGCTGGATGCTGCGAGCCTCCTCTGTGGAAAACACGAGACAGGAGCCATCCAGGAACTGCTTCGATGAATATCGACAACGGGGAAAACCCGAGCGGCTGCCCACCGAAACAAGCCATTTCCAAAGCACACAAAAAATCACATGAGCTGCCCACACTCCCGGCACAAAACACACAGGGACTTTCTTGAGCATCGCCCGCAATGCACACCAGCTTGCTCTCAGGTCAGGATGTCCCTTCTTATGTTTATGGAAGGAAAGAGGACTGCTTTGGAGGATACGGAGGTCAGGGCAGTTCCACAAGACCTCACTTGCAGTTGTAGGCACGGAGCGCAGCATTAGAAAAAAAACAATTTTCAGTTGCAAAATCACTCAAATAAAACTACAGAATTGACTGAGCTTGCACCTTGGAGAGCTGTGAGTCGCACCTCAGGGCTCCTGTGCCCCAGGTCTGTCCCAGCATGAAGTGCCAGGCTCCAGATCTTCAGGTCGAGCCGGCAAGTCAAGCACTGCACCGCTGCTGTGTGCTGCAAGGCAACCCGCAGAGACAGCAGGGCTCAGCTCTGAATCTGGTCGTTATTTCCAACCCTCAGGGGAAATGTAAATTCAACTCGGGCATATTGTTTTCTTTTGCTAAGCAGCAATGTTTGAATGTTAACTCCAATCCTGACAGGCATATGTATATTCTTTGCAAATAATCTCACCCTGACCAGTCCAAAAGGTCAAAAATCAAAAAATAATAAGAAAAAAGGACAAGCCTGGAAAACTTCAGTACCATTGGCACAACCCCTCAACCAACTAACCATCCTCACCACAAGGTGAACTGCAAGCTCTTGGATTTATTTGATTGACTGAGATCAAAAGATCAGAGGGCACGGAGGAAATTGCCTCCTTCTATGCACACATGCTGCTTTCAAGATTTGAGCAGACAGTTGTAGGAATTTTAAAACTCAAAGGGGAAAAAAAAACAACATTTAAAGGTGATTTCAGAAAGGCATCCTCTTATTTCTCTCTTGACACCATATGCATTTCTTAGAGCTATCTGAATGGTTCCTCCATGTTCCTGCAGCCCTGGGACCCACCAGCTTATCTCTGCTAAACAGAAGATGCTAACAAACAATAAGACACTCATATAACTCCAGAGGAGACATCACTATTTGCTGACATTAAGGATGAAAGGCAAATTTAGAGAAACCAAACAAATCCCAAATGAAGTCCAACAGGAGGCTTAAGAATTCCCTACTGCTATTCGGGTGCCCTCAGACACAGGACACATATCTCACTCCACTTCTTGGCTGCACAAGGAAGATGAAGCCCTCAATTGCTCCTCTGGCAATGATCACACAGAGGCACTGGAGCTGCCTGGGCCCATGTGAGGTTTGTCACCTGCAGCTCCCGGGGGAGCAAAGGAGAAGCAAGGGGACTGAGTGAGCAGCCTTAGGATGCAATTTCAACACAGAACACAGAAAAAGCATGCAATGCATTCACTGTCAAGACAGGACAAAGAAACACAAGGAAGAACAGCAACAGCAGAAATATGAAACTCTGCCATCTCATCAGCTCTTGAACCAAAGAGAAAAGAAAACATTTGGTTCTCATGCTTGTGTTTCACATATTGTTTATATTTTGCTCAATTTACCTGAATCTGTAGCATTGTCCTCTCACATCTGAACTATACAGGTGTGATTACCTGCCTGAGAATAAGAGGAAAACCCCTAATACAGATTACAGAAGAGACCCAAACTTCCAAGAACTTGCTACAAAGGAAGAAGAATTGGTACAGCCTCCTGGTTTAGGTTACATGTCAAAACCAAGGGCTGAACTCCTTTTCCACATTTGCACTTCACTCCAGAAGGCAGACATCACCTTTCAGGTAACAAAGATTATCACTATAGATTTGAAGCTCATCACCAGATCAGGCAGTTCCTTCTGCACAGGTACAATGAGTTTTTCTTTTCACCTTATCTGTTTTGAATAACATCGTTAAGATAAGAATTTCACCTTCTCTGGAAGGACTTTCCAGAAGTCATCCCACCTGTTCCCCCACTACATGAAAGGATCAGTTCTCCTAAAGCACATCCAATGAGGCTTTTTTAACTGATTCTAAAACCTTTCCAACAAACAACTGAAACTCCACAAGCTCCTCAGGCAGTCCATCCAGTGCTCAGCTCTTCTCAATGCAAGAGATCATTTACCAACATCTCATCTAAATTTCTCTTGCTGCAACTCAAGCCTGTGATTTGTCTTACTTATAATGAGCAGATTTACAGTTTGTTCCTTCTCTTCACAAGTTCACTGTTGCCAAAATTCACAAACTGAGGCACCAGTGTGGCTTGCCCTTTCTTTGCCATTTTGCTTTTGCCCAAAGTGCATTCTTAGTCTTGTGTCTCTGCACTGTGCATTTCATTTCTTACCCCAAGAAAACAGGCAGCTAGGATATCACAAGGCTGTTTCAAGAGAAGACGCTCACATCCAAAGGCTGATGCGCAGTCAGGCACTCTCAATTATAAGGCACTCTGAAAGAAGAAGAAAAAAAAAGATTTCTTTTAGGACTGTATGCAAAGGGTCCAGTAATAAACCAGCAACCGTGAACTGCAATTTAGTCCACTCTTTTATTGAACATTCAAATAGATCTTCAAAAGCAACATCAATGACTGCAGATACATCATATGCCACCACTCAAACTTAGCCACATTTTATCTAGCAACCATCACAAGGATTTGATAGATCTTCGTTCTACCAAACAGGACAACACTGACTTTGCGTAAAGTTCTGCCAAACTACACGCAGTAGCCAACACACATCAAAATCAGATGGCTCCAACTCCAGCACTTTATTCATTGTGACAGAGGACAAATCTTAATGTTGCCACTGGTGACTTTATTTTCAGTGTCACTGAAACCAATAGAGACAAAGCTACTTTGAGATTTGAGCGTGTGTAATTACGGGATAGATCCAGAGGAAAGTAGTCAGATTCAATGAAAGGCTGAATAACTTTTGTGTGCACAACATACGCCCTACCTCCCAGTCTGCAGGATGCTCTGCATAGCAAAAAGAAATCTTTCTCCTGAACGAAAGGGTTTGGTGATAAAGGAGAAAGAAAAAAGAAAAGGATTTATACGAGCGGTGTTGGGAAACACAGGGGGATGGTTCTGAATAGCACAAGCATCCCAAATTTCATGAGATAACAAGCAACAAGGGAGAGCAGTGATAATACATCTGCTTTCCTATTTTTGTAAGCAATCAATTTGCCACAACAGCACCTTCGAATGGATTATTTCTTGTACTCCATCCAGTCACAGTCCCTTTCTCCCATTAGTAGGGGATGCTGTTCGCATCCACTTGGCATGTTTTTTTGTTTGCTTTTTTTTCCCCCTCTTCTGTCCTTCTCAGCTGCCCTGAACTTTTGCTTTCCTTGATCATTTCCCTCTTCCCAATACAGCCCAACTGCTGTCAGCACAGGAAAGTGACATGCTCCTATTTAGCATAGACTTGATAACAGAAGTGGTGTTTCCAAGGCTAAAGACAAATACCTGCACCAGTAATGTCCCTACATCACACAGTAGCTGAGGAGACTAAGCAATAAATGCCTTGTACTGAAGATGTAGAAGTCAAAGAATCTCAGCAATGTAGATGGCCAACTAATGAAGGAGTTCAAACAGAGGTCTATCTTTAATGATGCAAATAGCTTTGATGATTTCCACAAGACCACCTGTGGTATCAGAGACATTACCTCCCAAAATGCCAATGAGAGATATGGATTCAGCAAGGGATATAGATGTGAGGAGTGCTTCCACCAGGAATATACACCCATTTCTATAGCAGAATTAGAACAGCTGTTGAAAACCATGAAGTAGTATTGAATGGCAGCTCAGGACAGGGAGCCAAGAAGACTACCACATGCAATTGAAACTGCCAAGGGATTAAGCTAGGTCAAATGTAATTACACAAAACTGGAACTTGGCCAGAATGCTGGTTTAAGAAAATTAAAAGAGGTGTTCAAAAGTTTCAGAGATAGAGTCCTTCTGTTAATTATTTGGTGAGTCAGTTGCTGAAGTCTCAGTACTCTGGGAAGCTGTCTGAAAAAAAGGGGGAAAATGAGGCATAAACTTAAAAGGCATTAGGAGTGATTAGCAAGAGCCTTTGTTCTCCATGGCAATGCTTGCTGCACTACTGTGCGAATGCCTTTCATGTTCATGCTGGAAAGTGGCCTTAGCTCCTTTGATACTTCTGGGAGGAAACATTTAAGCGTACAAATATCCCACTGTCAGAAGTTCCAGACAACAGTCGAGGAACATCAACATACCCCAGCCAGGTCAGATCCAGCTTTCAGGCAGTGCTTCTGCTCAAGAAAGGAATGCAAACAGAGACATTTAGAAGCTTATTTAGACCCTAAGCAATGTTTACCCTACTCGCTGGCCATGTACGAAGGCCAGGTCACGTGGAAAACAAGGTTGCAACCACACAGGACAGTGTTCTTCTTACTTTCTTACGGTTTGGGGAAGATGGAGAGCACTAAAGGTGATAAGGAGATAAGAAAAGGTGCTTCATGGTCAATATGGTCCTCAACAATGACAAAGAGGATCTAAAAGAAGGAAGTGGACAGATTCTTTAGCAGGGTATCTTGTGATAGGACAAGGCGAAATGGCAAACTAAGAGGGGACATTTAGACTGGATATAAGGAAGAAGTTTTTTTACTCTAAGGATATTGAGGCACTGGCACAGGTTGCCCAGAGGCAGTGGGTGCCCCTTCCCTAAAGGCACCAAAGGTCAGGCTGGATGGGGCTCTGAGCACCTGATGGAGCTGTGGGTATCTCTGTTCAGTGCAGGGAGCTGGACCAGATGTCCTTTAATTCAAACAATTGTATGCTTCTATGAACAACAGATAAGAGGAAAGGCACACTATTAACTCAAGATATTTAACGCCTAAATTGAAGTACAGAGAGATCAAATCCAGAAAAGATGAGTATTAACAGTCTCTGATGAACAGTCACAAACTCTGTTCAATTTCTGAGACTTGTACTATAGCCATAAACAAAATCTGGTGTTTTCTGCAGAATAAGAATAATAAAAAAGCCTTCTAAGTCTCAGTTTTGGCACCTGATAGTTGTAGCTGCCTCTGCTACCTCTGCATCTGAAATTTATCATTAGAGATAGACTCATTACTGTCTTTGAAACAGTTGCATTTGACAGTAAAAGCAATAGGAGATTAACCTTTTTGGGTAGTTTATTTGGTGAACTGTTCAGCTGATGCACATTAAACAAACCAATTTTTAGACTGATGTGAAAATAACCGAAAGATTAAACAGCAATCTTCCCAACAAGCACACAGTGAGTGACACGGCTTCCTCTGGAAGCGACGGCAGGTGAACACACAGCCGAAGGCTCTGCCATATCAATTTCATGCACTTGTTTTTTTTTCCTTTTCAGAAAGCAAGCCAAGAATAGACAGGCGTTTCACAGCACAGACTGGTGCAACTTGTGCTAATGGCAACAAGCATAGATGCAAGTGCTCCGTTCCCTCTGTGCAGAACTCATCAGTGGGGACAAGTCACGGAGAGGACAAGGAAAAATGGTTTCTTGCTCACGGCCAAAGGGACAGGTCAGCGTGACCAGAGCATGCAGGTACAGGTTCTCTGCAGCCAAAAGCAGTAAGGAGCCAATGCCACTGACAGCCTCCAGTGCCTGACACGAAGCACAGGGAGGTGGGATGGGAAGCACCAATGCCAAGCAGTAATAAGGATGGAATCGCAGCTGCTTCTCAAATCAGATTTTTTTTTTGCCTAGGTTACTTGTTATTAAAAGAAATTATAAGTTGCAGCACACAGGGACATCCTGTTCGCTGTATTAAATGAAAGGGATGACTCAAGAGGGAACAGCTTTCAGGAGGCAGGGAGGGGGGAATCAATTTCAGGTTGCTACAGACAAGTGGGCCTTTTCCTGTCAGAGTAAATCCGATTCAGCTCTACGAACCCACGATGGAACATTCCCTGAAATACAACACACACGTGCTCACTAAATAAATAAATACACTAAAATACACACATGTCGTCTCCCACATTTTACCAGCTGAACTAAGGGCACGCTCCAACCTGCTAACTGCAACTCCACAAGCGTGGAGCTTTGGCTCAGCACTGACATCCTGACTGCAAGTTCAGTGCCTATCACTGCCTTGCAGGGAGAAAGGTATTTAATGGCAAAGTGGCATCCTGCACAACGAAGCAGAGCAGAGCATGGTCATTTGGGCTGCCCTTGCACAGAATCTAGACTTACAGTGAGGTCTAAAGGCTGTTAAGTGACCAAATAAATCCATCTCAATCAATCCCTCCGTGAAGAACACAGGAAACATTTCCATCCTACAGTATTATGAGTCTTAATTTTATGGAGCAGTTGATGTTTTTCCAATGAAAGGTACCGTTAAAATATAAGATTTTATTAGCAAAATCAATGATGTGTGCAGAGACAGTCCCTCACGGCTTTAAAAAATGTCTATGAATAATTATAAAACTGATAGCAGTAGAGAAGACCGTACAATTATTACTGCTGTTTTACAGGATTCTCTAACAGCGACGGCCCACTTCTGGTAAGACACCTTCAGGCAGTACCACAAAAAAGCATAAATAAGGACAAGGCAAAAAAAAAGCTCAGTGTTCTCTCACACTTAGAGGGTGCAAATATGTTGCTTACTTTATGCTTATTGTTGCTGGGTTTTTTTATTTTATTTTTTTTTCCCTGTAAGTAGTAAACATTCTGGAAACAAATCTCAACACTTACAGAAATATTTACCAGTTGCCCTTGTATTTCACTTTCTCTACCAATTCCAATGTTTTGTTGCATTAGAAAAGCAAGTGGGGGAGATTCAGTCCCCATTAAACCCATCAGAAGTGGAACAAAGAGCCACCAATTTCATGGTGCTCCTTAAACACAGGTCAGGCGTGTGCAGCACCTGAAAGCTCTTTACAAGCAAGGCATGTGCTGGGGACAAATGCCCAGACACCTCTATCTCCAGCAGGGTTCCCACTCAGATCCAGCATGCCATGTTGCCACCACCCTCCCCCAGTGAGCACTGGGCACATTGCCCCAGTCCTTCAAAGCCTGGGCTCTCACCCAGCGACCACCACCCATATCAGCACCATCATAAAGAGCTCACGCAGTCGAGGCACTGAGGCATCCCAAACTCAACACTCACCAAGCCTGCCTACTTTCCAGCAAGCTCTGGCTAATGCACACAGAGCATCGTTAAGTCACGAATGTACTTATGTGAATTAGAGCCAAAAAGTGACACCTGTCAGTTCTACCCCAAATGTTTTGGCTCTGCACACACAGCTACACGTTTGCAAGAGCTGAGGGTATGGGCAGAGAAAAAAAACTCAAGTCTCCTTACTCCACCTGGCTTTAAACAACCTCCGGATGTGTGTGAGGATGGATGAGGAACGAGTGGCAAGAATACTCAACAGATGTTTTCATTAGCATAAATTTGCCATTCATTCCTCTTTCTTCTACCATCACAAACTCC